ATGACTCTCGCCACTATGCCAGGGATGGAGGCTTTGGGGCCCAGGAAATTTCTCTTTATTATCCTACTCCCAGCAGGAATTCCATGGCTTGTGCAGGCCTTCACTCCTTACCTCTCTCTCCTCTACCTGGGTCGAGTGGTCTCTTGCTTCATTTACATTGCCTTGGGACCTGTCACGGCAGTCCTCGTTGCAGAGATTAGTGAGCCAAGAATTCGTGGTCTGTTGCTCAGTGCTGAGGAAATCACGGTCGCCATCGCCCAGATGGCCATCTATCATGGCTCATCCCTCCCATGGGACGTGGCCACGGCCGCTTGTGCGGCTCCCATGATCTTGGTCGCCGCCCTCACCTTCTTCGTGCCAGAGGTAATGCATGTTTCTATGTCTGTAGGCCTATTTTGTAGCATCCCCGAAACACCAACCAGTTCGATACACTTTGATACATGTTTGCTCCTTATTGTTGGAGTCTCCTGAAACTGGAATCTACTGAAATATCTTTTCATTTTGAATAGTGATTTCCTCTACCGTGATAAACTCCGGCCAGCCAATCAGATATTTTCAAAATATATTTCACGCAGGTTCAGATGGGAATTTATATTTTCATTAATTACGAATCATATCGTGATTTCATTTATACAAAATTCTGGCTTAAAGGTGCATAAAATGTTCATGTGTCTTTTAGCAGTACATCAAATACTTGTTCACTCGGTATGGGTAAAATTTGAAGCCCATCGTGACGGTCACTGGAACGACGTGGTAAGAATTTCCAACGAATCCGAATCATATGACGTGGTATTGGCTTCGGTGAGATAAATGTCTTCAAAATCATTTTGTACCTCTATGATACCTTACAAAAATATCACAGAATAGTCTGGGCATCTTGATTTGTTGATATAATTTAATCAGTAAGACAAATATCTCTGATCATTAGTATTATCTAGTTATATGATTCGGACATAGAGCTCACTCACGGTAGATACGATAAGATGCAAAATATCATTCAACTTCTATCTTTCATATGAAGAACAATGTAATGAGAAAAAAATTAGACAATCTGAGAAATACATTTGAAAGGAGAGTGTATAAACCATCATACTTTCAGAGTAGTCAAGTTCCTTTTCCATTTTATTTGAATCTTCTACAATATTTTGCTTGTAATTGAATATCATACCTGCATATTAAATACATTAAAGGTTTTCAATTGACTTTCTTTTGTGAAATGAAGAAAAATATTTTTTCTCAGAACTTTGTATGTCAGTGCAAATTCCAATAGTAATTGTGTCTTGCAATGACCATGATACATATATCAGAGCGTTTGGAGTTTTGGGATCCTACAAACAATATTAATGACTTTGAATAAACATTGAAAAATAAAGTTTGATCTTATTTACTCATAAATATTGTACTTGTCAATCTAGTCCCCCTACTGGCTGATTCGCCGAGGCCAGAAGGACGCTGCGTTGGAGTCTCTCAAGAAGTTAAGAAGTCCAAAACAAGACGTTAACCTTGAACTTCAAGAAATTTCAGCAAACGTCCAAGGAACATCCCAGCCTTCAATATGGGATCAGGTAAAGATGTCATGATACACACATTCATATATATATATATATATATATATATATATATATATATATATATATATATATATATATATATATGTATGTATGTATGTATGTATATGTATGTATATACACAGTATATATATATATATATATATATATATATATATATATATATATATATATATATATATATATATATATATATATATATATATATATATATATGTATGTATATATATATATATATATGTATATATAGTATGTATGTATATATATATATATATATATCTATATATATATATATATATATGTATATATATAATATGTATATATATATGTATATATGTGTATATATGTATATGTATATGTACATGTATATATGTATATGGTATATATATATATATATATATATATATATCTCCTAATTTCCTGGTTGGCAGTTTAATCATCCAGATTTAGCAGGTTTGCTTTGTTACACTTTGCTCAATTTGAATGGAATAACACCAACCTATATCTAAATAGAAGAATGGGATTAATCACATTCACATACAAATTACCATATATATTTTTCCTATTAAAGTTCTGTACTGTTTTAAAATCAATAACATTACGTTGGTATCGCCACCACCACTCGAGACTAAGAGTTGAGGGGGACCCCGAGAAACCCCGATTTTTACTTACCTAATCTTAATATGGGTAGCATAACCCAACGGTGTTAAAGCTCTTGGGATGGATTGAATTAATTCCTCTGGTGAATGTGTGCCAAATATACAATGGGCGTAGAAACATTCATAACCAATCACTTTTTATTCAATAAACAAATATTAATAATGTGGCATATTACACTGTAAATCTTAGCAATAATTATTATAATAAAAACTAGCAATATTTTCTTACTTAATTTGAATCTAATCTACACTCTTTTCCTACTAATTATAGATCAATAAGCATTAATTTAAGCATAATAAAAACGAACGTGAGAGGGGGTCAAGACCCTCACCCCCACTCTACCAGTATCTTTTCATTATTTTACTTGTATATAAGGTAATCGATCCATTCCTGTTAACCTTCATTATTCTCCTCTCTTACACTTAAGACGAATAAATAATTCCATTCTTAGCCTTTCATTGCCGCCACCAAAACTGTCCCTTTGATTAATTCCGTTGCTGTATCCAAAGGCCAAAATAAATAAATAAATAACTTTCCTAACTAGGCATCAAGGCATGTTTTCGCCACAAATTTTCTCAAACTTTTCTTCTCTCTGTGTTTGGGGTGAGAGCAGGAGGTCGTCTGAATCATTAAGGGTTTGGTAAAAAGGGATCCCACTATAATTTTCATTCACTTATCAAGCATTACAATCAATAATGTCAGGGTAAAACACGACTTTTCATATTAGCACTTAACCTACGTTCGGGGTGAGATCTTGAGGCCATCTAAGGGAAGATCATTAAAACAACCTACTTAATCATTTCCTCCACCAGTGAATTGTTAGCATTTAAACAAAACAACCATTCATAAATGGTTATAATTTATTCTATATGTTATAACAATAAATTTTGCTATATTCATACACCCTCAAAAAATAAAGATACGTTAAATGTTTTCAGTGGCGGGCATACATCTTTACTATTAGAACCAAAGCATCTTTTAAATATCGAATAAATAACGATCTCGAAATAATCACTGAATGATATATGGGATATTACTTTAAAAATCTCAATTATATATGTGTGTAATGGAAGTTGCTTATTGACAGATCAAACAACTTGCCCGTCCTCAAAATTATCGTCCAGTTCTTCTGCTGGCGGCGGTGTTCATCCTGAGGGAGCTCGGAGGGCAGCACGTGGTGTTCTCCTACACGGTGTACCTGTTCCAGAAGGCAGGGGTCGGCCTGGACGCCTTTGTCTGCACAATCCTAGTGGGCGTCGTGAGGCTCGTCTTCACAGTGGTCAGCGCGGCGGTCGTGGACCGCGTCGGGCGTCGGCCTCTGCTGATCGCCACGTCTTTCGTATGCGGAGCGGCCGAGGTTGTCGGTGCGGTGTTCCTGCTGGTGGACGTCCCAGGGTCGTCGTGGGTCCCGCTCGCTGCGGTGCTGGTTTTCGTGTCCTCGTACGGCCTTGGAATCGGACCCATTCCCTGGACTCTTATGGGCGAGCTCATTCCCACTCCTGTGAGAAATATTGGAAGTTCGCTGTGCAATTTGAATTTCTCATTATTCACCTTTGTCATCAGTTTTGTCTTCCCATATTTGATGGAAATAGGTCTTGGCTATGCACTCCTGGTCTTCGCTTCAGCGAATGCCATCTTAACACTATTGCTTTGGGCCTTCTTACCCGAAACCCGTGGAAAATCTCTGAGTGACTTGGAAAATGCATTTCAATCTTCCCCTGGGCATTCAGAGTGACAAGAGGAAAGAGAGCACCTTACATAAGGATTTCTATATTCAAGCATACGAAGTCCATATGAGAATATTTTGTATATTGCAACATTTACTCAGTTCCTTTCATAATCTTTTTGCTAAGCAAAACTTTATTTTGTTACTTATTATTGCAGTTGGGTTACCAAAGAAAATAATTATCCCACACACTTTTATATATGTTTGGAAAGTTCATATAAAAGTTTGTTGCCTATTATTCCTCTGCAGCGGTTAGTTTAGCATTACCAGGATGAGCCATATCATTCTGCACCCACCTTTTCCAACTTTCGCAAACTGCTTCTGCTGAGGATACTGTTGTAATAGAATGGTAACAACTGCCATCGTGCAGCGAAAGACCAAAAGGGCCTCGATACTAGCAAGTTCAAATTGATTTATTGTTATGAGATTAGGAAGATGATTCCATTGCGGCAATTGTGTCTCACCGCCAAATGCAAATCATTGCCCTAGCCATTCCTGCAATGGAGTTTGTATGAGTGGTATTGTATGAATGTAGAACAGTTCGTCCTTGTTTTCACGAACCGGCGTAACCAATTTGTCGATTTTGAGTTTTATGTGTATTTGATGTCAGTGTACCACTGCCTGTTTTGTCTCAAATTTATGTAACCTAATTTCTTTCCGATACTGAGATATGGCATGCAGTATCATGATGTAGTTAGGGATTTTACAGTTTTTAAAAGACATTAAACTCAATTTCAGTAAAAGTAACTTTTTGCACTTACATAGGTTCGTGAAAACAGGGACGAATTGTAAAACTTTATGTCCAGTTCCTAAGGCAAATTTTGCGTGTTAATGTCAGGTGAAGGTTTGGAACTCAGTCCACGCACTTGCAATGTCGCCAGACAGACCACTCATCTACCTTGACGTCTACACGCTAGCTTTGTGCTAAAAATGGCATTTAAGAATAAAATGAATATCTGATCTTACATCATAATTGTGACCTTAATAAACCTTGAAGTTAAACAAAATCATTCTTCGTTCTACAGTGAATGCTGTTCGTTTCCACTAAATACGACACTGGAAATGTATTCTGCAGCGGCATATATATATATATATATAATATATATATATATATATATATATATATATATATATATATATATATACATATATATATAGTAGTTGCCGTGGAACTTCCAGCTGGGAAGCGGAGACATGCAATAAACTTCATGACCAGTGTTAATAGAAAAACAAGCATTTTCTTTCTTCTTTAATCCAACTAAACTGGTATCTTCTTTGAACAAAAACAGTTCTTCCAACATCAAAATCATACGTTTCGAGTGTTCAACACTCATCTTCAGTGATGACAAGAAATAACTGTAAAATATAAAAGGAACATTATCCTTCAGTTTACAAAAACATATTTACAAAACAGTTAAGGTAAATCATATCACTAATAGTGTTTATAAAACATGAAAAGGGGGATACGAATGACTTTACATCATCAACTTCTTCCTCTTTTTATCTTAAATGAATTGGAATAGTGATTTAGTATTGAAAAATTTCTAGACTATAAAAGCCATCATGTAAATATGACAAAACATGCCATTCAAGATAACGTAAATACCATCAATTTTGATACAACACATTACTGAATTGCAATAGATTATTATGACTGAAACACATTCTAGGGAAACATTGGTATTCAGGGAAATTACTAGGTTATAAGGTTAAGACATTGAGTAAACTATGACAAAAAACGTAAGTCAAGAAATTCATAAAATCATTCAAATCAAAATAACGCATTATTGAATACAATACATTATTACAATTGAAACATATTATAATGAAACTTTTGTAATGACGTGACATTTAATGGAGAAAACTTGAGCTAAAATGGGACAAATAACGATCAAAGCCCCTGGCGTCATCAAGGCAAAACCGGCAAGATCAAACTCGGCAAATACTATATATAAATCTTGAATATGGGAATTTTATACACTTATCTCGAAACTAGGTATGTTAATTAATACATTAATACTTTCAGTAGTTTTTTAGTAATAATTATGGTTAGTATTCTGTATTATTGTTACCAATGTATTAATTAACATCCCTAGTTTCGAGATAAGTGTGTAAAATTCCCATATTCAAGATTTATATATAGCATTTGCACATATATATATATATATATATATATATATATATATATATATGTGTGTGTGTGTGTGTGTGTGTGTGTGTGTGTGTGTGTGTGTGTGTGTGTGTGTGTGTGTGTGTGTGTGTGTGTGTGTGTGTGTGTGTGCATACGTATATATGTATATGTATACATATATATATATATATATATATATATATATATATATATATATATATATATATATATATATATATATATATATATATATATGTGTGTGTGTGTGTGTGTGTGTGTGTGTGTGTGTGTACACATTATTACGTCCCACATTATCATTATTAAAGGAGGTAACATGTATATATATAAAAAAAAATCAATTAACAAACCCATTTATTACCAATAACCAAAATTCTAAATTCCATCAATTGTTTACCACACCACAGTTTCACATTTAACTGTTATATTTGTATATTTAGATAATACTCATCCAGTTAGGTAGGAAATCTGATCTCCATATTCAATAAAGTCACTGCCCTGCACACCGTCACCGAGAAGAGAAGACCTCGACCGTAGCGACGAGACTGGCGAGGAACCAGCCGTATTTTTCCTCCTTGGGTGTGTGCGTGTGTTCGCTGCCTCGCACTCCTTAAGCAATTGGGTAATTTGTCATTCATAAATTCTTTAATGAATTCGCACAGAGATAATGAATCACATGAGAAAACCTTACGATTTACATTTATAGATGATATAACCTTTAAAGATTTAACAAAAATTCATATATCTCTTTTTAAAGGCAATTCTTGTCAAAAATAATTTGAGATGAAACGTTGTCATTCGATGTTTAACCGTCGTCATTGTCTTAAATTCCAATTGTTTTTTTTAAGGAAAACACCACATCAAACAATGTTGGCATTGAACAAAACATTATACTGTTTCCAAACTGTCTAACACAATTTTAATGGCCGGTATTAGTTATTAGTGAAAATGTTTGCGAAATATCACGTCAGTCACAGGCTTCGGTATAAAGAGAATTCTATTCACAGAATATTAGATACTATGCATGTATTACTAGAAAAATACAATCCTCGCACTATAAGGGTATACCTGTTGGAACCGTACATGTGTAAGCCTGTCTGTATGTGCATGTGTTTTGTAAATAATGCAATTTGACAACAAAAGTGTAGCGTTTTCGTTTATCATCAAATATTTTTACTCTGAGATCAGTGTGGATATGTGGTGTCATTTACAAATCAAACATGTCTGTAAGTCATGTATATAACTCACATATGTATTACCCATACCTATTGTACTTACTTCTGCTCTATTGTACAACATATGCGACTTGTATGACTTTTAAGGCACACGTCATGACGTGGCAGCCTTCTTTTGTTTTCCATCTCACGGATGCGCGTGTCGCACATGATCAGAGGTCCCGAGGTAGCTAGCGAGGAAGGATGCATCGTTTTCTCCAGCTAGCTCGCCTGCCTTTGTACCTTCAAATAAATCCAGCGGTTAAAAGAACGGTAATTTTCTGTATTACCTCCGCCGTTCCGATATCGACGATTTTGATATCGTTGGATTCCTCTCACTGTCTGTATTACAAATATATAGTTTTTATTGCACGGACCCCCCCCCCCCCGTTAGCAACAAACTTGGCCCCAATAGCAGGAGAGGCCATGAAAGGTTCCAGGGAAAATGCGGGACTAAATAACACTAATAACATAACCCACAGTGAAAATAACTATGGTTATTCACACGAATTTCCATTGCAGGGGGCTACACCCCCTTCGACCCTCACTGGTGGGGCTACCGCCCCCCAACCACCGCCGAGGAAACAAAACCTCCACCACGTATTCACGGCAGGCTAGAGCTTACACAATTATCGTCGATGTCGGACCGGCGGACCTAATATTACAATTACCGCGTAACATCCTCACTGCATCAGCATACTAACCTCGACATAGTCACCTTTGTATACAGAGACGATTGTAGTATAATCAGTGTGAACAAGGTATACCATGAACAGAAGACCGGCGGCGGTGGCCCACCCTCGTCGGCTCGGCGGATTTTGCGCCTCTCTCGATGCATCTAGTTCGTGTGCGCTCTATTCTGCCGTGAAGACGTGGTGGATTCTTTGTTTCCTCGGCGTGGGTTGGGGGGCGGAATCCCCCACCAGGGGGCGTCGCAGGGAGCACAGCCCCCTGCAAAGGAAAATCATGTGAATAACCATGGTTATTTTCACTGTGGGTTATATTATAAGGGTAATTTTCTATATTACGTCCGCCGCTCCAACATTGTCGCCCCTGCTATTGGGGCCAATCTTGTCGTTATAGGGGGATTTACTCGGAATAAAACCTATATATTTGCATGGTATAGAGTGAGAGGAATCCAACAATACCAAAATCGTCAATATTGGAGTGGCGGAGGTAATATAGAAAATTACCAAAAGAACCTACAGTATTTGCTTCCACCTTCGTAGAGACTCTGGAAGACACACATGGCGCAGTGACACTGGTAAAACCCTGGGACAACAGACAGGCAAACTCGTTCGGACCCATTGTCAGCCGCCATCTTTACTCTCGTATCTCACGGATAATCGGCTCTTCTCTGCAATTTGTGGTGTTTCAGTGCAAGCAATTTACTCGTCAGTGCATCGTGTTGCGTCTTCAGGACAGTGTTGACAGTTTTGCATTAAGTGCTGTGCAGTGTTTATTCTCTCGTCATGTTTCGGAGCTTACTGCCGCGCACCAAAAAGGCGGTGACTCTCCTAATCCGCATTCTGTCGCACACGCGCAACTGACCGCACACATGCATGCACTCACTGAACAATATTTTTGTAATAAAACGTTCTTTTTCTTTGCTGTTGTAAATTCCTGTGTTAGTCATAGCTCTCAGTCTGACATTATGGAACATTTGCCCTTCCATGACGTGTCTGCCGACAACCCACAAGCCAGCAGTCGACTCCTGACGGACTTTATGCAGCCAATCCCCACGGTGACCCCTTGGGTCCCCCCACCGCAAAACAGCGCTCTCCGCGGATGCAACCTTTAATGCCTCACTACACGAGTGCAGAAACTCCTAGCCCTGACTTCCTTCACATGCTGTGATATATTGAAGAAACCAGACTCGCAGAATTCAAGGCCGAGGAAAATCGTTGTCAAGATGAACAAAAATGGCGAGAAGAGGAGCAGAAATGCCGTGAAGAGGAAAGAAGATGGAGACAAGAAGCTGAAGGATGACAGGCAGACTCTGAGTGATTCCTTCTAATGATGCAAGGGTTCCAAGCTGCCAACCAGGCCTTGCTCATATCTAATGCACCTGGCCTGCACACCTATCCAGCCCAGGCTCATCATAGGCCTACACTGGACCCCACAGTCACTCCCTACGTCCTGCCATCTCCCTCAGCAACGTGTTCGACTTCTACCAATGGGATTCCTGAGACTTCTGCTACGGGTACACTTAACACGGCACCGACAATAATGTCCACAGCGTCTTAAGCTCTCAGACAACAGTTACGCCATCTGCAGGCAAACCTATGGCCCACAACCCACTAGTACTCCAAGCTGATGCCTGTTACCAGGTTTTTAGGCAGTGGCAACGCCATTAGTCAGATTACTCGACAATGATTGACAGTGCCAAACTGTCACCAGTGAAGCAACTAATCCAATTATGGATATCAGTATCCTTGAGGTCCAGCGAATCCTTGAACACTCCCGACACTAATCTCTGTGGATGCAGTTCTCGACGCCCTCCAAGACTTCTTCAAAGATCAAAGAAACGAGGCACTACATCGTCGGGAACTTCTTTACTGCCGTCAAGCGGAGGGAGAAAACTTTGGAAGTTTTTATGTGAGGCTCAAGAGCTGTGCTGAGGAAGTTGACCTTTGTCCAGGCCACTCTGTCACATGCGCTGGGACACAGCTGAAAATGGTCATCCTCATGGGTGTCAGGGACGAGGAGCTTATTCAACGATTGATTTCCCTTGATGCCAGTGCTCTTCTGCAAGATATAGTTAACCACTGCAGATCTTACGAGTCCACCCATACAACAGCATCAGCGATCCACGCCTTTCCTAGCCAGATGTATGTAGTTTCTTCCTATAAGCACCAAAAAAGATGGAAGAGAACCCAGACAACTTCAGCTTCAGGACTAAAAGGAAACTGCATCGCAACAATCTTCAGGCCAACCAATAATATAATGAACACTTGACGAAGTGAGTGTACCAGCGCGAAGAGCAGATAATGTTTGCTTAGACCGGAAGTAGGAGGGAAAATGACAGGTTGGCTAATTTTGAAGATTTATTATCGCCTAAATCATTCCCACTGTAAAAGAGAAGTCAGTTCTGTCGCCCAATTCCTAACAATTTGTTATCATGGCTGGAAAATACTCCGTTGTCTACAAAATGTGCCAGTAGCATTCATTAGGCTCCTGGTTAGTCTTCATTAGAGTTCAAATAGTGTTTATATTGATGATCATGGTACTGATACTCAGAAAGATAGATATATAGAGGGTCATATTATCCATGTACATGAAATATGAAGGGAAAGAAAATTACCCTAAAGATAATACAGAATACATTTCCAGTGTCATATTTAGTGGAAATGAACAGCATTCACTGTAGAACGAAGAATGATTTCGTTTAACTTCAAGGTTTATGAAGGTCACAATTATGATGTATCAGATATTCATTTTATTCTTAAATGCCATTTTTAGCACAAAGCTAGCGTGTAGACGTCAAGGTAGATGAGTGGTCTGTCTGGCGACATTGCAAGTGCGTGGACTGAGTTCCAAACCTTCACCTGACATTAACACGCAAAATTTGCCTTAGGAACTGGACATAAAATTTTACAATTCGTCCCTGTTTTCACGAACCTATGTAAGTGCAAAAAGTTACTTTTACTGAAATTGAGTTTAATGTCTTTTAAAAAACTGTAAAATCCCTAACTACATCATGATACTGCATGCCATATCTCAGTATTGGAAAGAAATTAGGTCACATAAATTTGAGACAAAACAGGCAGTGGTACACTGACATCAAATCCACATAAAACTCAAAATCGACAAATTGGTTACGCCGGTTCGTGAAAACAGGACGAACTGTTCTACATTCATACAATACCACTCATACAAACTCCTACAGGAAAGGCTAGGGCAATGATTTGCATTTGGCGGTGAGACACAATTGCCGCAATGGAATCACCTTCCTAATCTCATAACAATAAATCAATTTGAACTTGCTAGTATCGAGGCCCTTTTGGTCTTTCGCTGCACGATGGCAGTTGTTACCATTCTATTACAACAGCGTCCTCAGCAGAAGCAGTTCGCGAAAGTTGGAAAGGGTGGGTGCAGAATGATATGGCTCATCCTGGTAATGCTAACCTGACTTCGCTGCAGAGGAATAATAGGCAACAAACATTTATATGAACTTTCCAAACATATATAAAAAGTGTGTGGGATAATTATTTTCTTTGGTAACCCAACTTCGTATGCTAGAATATAATAGAAATCCTTATGTAAGGTGCTCTCTTTCCTCTTGTCACTCTGAATGCCCAGGGGAGGATTGAAATGCATTTTCCAAGTCACTCAGAGATTTTCCACGGGTTTCGGGTAAGAAGGCCCAAAGCAATAGTGTTAAGATGGCATTCGCTGAAGAGAAGACCAGGAGTGCATAGCCAAGACCTATTTCCATCAAATATGGGAAGACAAAACTGATGACAAAGGTGAATAATGAGAAACTCAAATAGCACAGCGAACTTCCAATATTTCTCACAGGAGTGGGAATGAGCTCGCCCATAAGAGTCCAGGGAATGGGTCCGATTCCAAGGCCGTACGAGGACACGAAAACCATCACCGCAGCAAGCGGGACCCACGACGACCCTGGGACGTCCACCAGCAGGAACACCGCGCCGACAACCTCGGCTGCTCCGCACACGAAAGACGTGGCGATCAGCAGAGGCCGACGCCCGACGCGGTCCACGACCGCCGCGCTGACCACTGTGAAGACGAGCCTCACGACGCCCACTAGGATTGTGCAGACAAAGGCGTCCAGGCCGACGCCTGCCTTCTGGAACATGTACACCGTGTAGGAGAACATCACGAATTGCCCTCCGAGCTCCCTCAGGGTGAACACCGCCGCCAGCAGAAGAACTGGACGATAATTTTGAGGACGGGCAGGTTGTCTGATCTGTCAAAAAGAAACCCATTACACACATATACACACACATATATATAATTGAGATTTTTAAAGTAATATCCCATATATCATTCAGTGATTATTTCGAGATCGTTATTTATTCAATATTTAAAAGATGCTTTGGTTCTAATAGTAAAGATGTATGCCCGGCACTGAAAACATTTAACGTATATTTTTTGAGGGTGTATAAGTATAGCAAAATTTATTGTTATAACATATAGAGTAAATTATAACCATTTATGAATGGTTGCTTTGTTTAAATGTTAACAATTCACTGGTGGAGGAAATGATAAGTAGGTTGTTTTAATGATCTTCCCTTAGACGGCCTCAAGCTCTCACCCCGAACATAGGGTTAGTGCTAATAAGAAAAGTCGTGTATTACCCTGATGTTATTGATTGCAATGCTTGATAAATGAATTTAAATGATAGGGGAATCCCTATGGGCGTCTTCTGTACGTGCCATAATAGTTAATCCAGTATTAAAGTTAATCCAGACTTCTAGTGCACATGCCCATTGGCAGCGTCCAGGATCAACTTTTATTGCACCTCTAGACCAGGCTTAACATTAAGCACATTTTTAAATCCTGCACATGCGCAGAAGGGACAAGTTAATCCCACCAATCATATACTGTTGTAGTTGCCATTCAGTTATTTTCGGCAATAACCGATCGTCTTAGAATTTTCATACGAAATAATTCTGAAAATGAAATATATATTTTATACATCTAATCAAATATTCTGATAAAGGAAATAATCCCACGAGAAATCTTATAAGTTCAGAGGCTGCGGTCAAGGAACTCGTATTTCCAGGTTTGTGAAACAAAAAATATATGGTCAAGGTCACAGAAGTTGACGTTTTAAATCAAATATGAACCAGTGTTTTAAAAAAGAATTAGGTGCTGAGTTTTTCTCAATTATTTTACTACAAAATTAGCAATTATACTTTCCTATGCACCCCGTGAACAGCATCCTGAAGAAAACATGTTTACCTCGTCCAACATGATTCAACGTGGCTAAGAGCTGTCCGAGGAAATTGCGTGATGGATATTAATTGTTTAATGTCATTTTTGTACTTGAGTGTCATTGAAAAAATATAGGTTTTATAGTTGTTAGAGCAGTTTCGTTACCCATTTTAATAGTACAAATATAAGCTCTCATAAATAATCATGTTTCCCTCATAAGTAGGCCTACTTATGCCTCGTAATTATCATATCTTGAGTGACTGACTACAACTTTCTATAACAATCACCTTTTCTCCAATCCATGAAAATGAATATCAGTTGTCAGAAAAAAAATAACAATGCAGTGTCTGAAAGCAAATTGCAAGGTTCATTTATCCAAGTAAATTTTATACCGGACTGCAAATCTTTCGGTAATATACTTAATATTGTCTTCTATATAATCTATGTAGGGACATGAAGGGTGTGTGTTGAATAGATATCTTTTGGATGATTCTGTTGCTTATTTACAGATATGAGTGGATGATTTGCTCCAGACGCTACCCTACACAACATGCAACAGTTATGTGTGAAGAGAACATTGCACAGAAATGTTTCAAAATACCACAGATTGTTCAACAATAAAAAGACAACATACCTCAGCTCCCACACTTTAGATTTGTAAAACCTATTCCCACACGCCCAGATATACGAGACCAGGATCTTCACATCAACAGCAGAGGGCAGAATCATCACTACATCACAGACCAGGAATATCACAAAAATTTATAGAAATTTAAAGAGACAGTCCATTAACATAAGATTCTGAACAAATCATATTTGAAACAGATAATCCTGAAGAAATGTGTACAGATAATAGAGGTACGAACTGTCTTACTTTAATATGATGCGAGTCTTATTTTTCAATTTTGAGAACATTAGGAGGCATAAAGAATTGATTAATAATATGAATAAGTTTTTTAATGCCTTGTCTTCAAACATGGTAGGTACGTCTGGGATGAAGGGAAGGAAAAGGTGGTCTTCAGAAGTATATTATTTACAGAACACTTTAAACAATTAGGGGACAAAGCAGTGCATAGATTTAAAAAAAAAAATGGAAGATATTTATGAAAACATTAGTACGAGTCTCAGGTTCATGAAATACACATTAAAAATAATAGATATTTTGAAACCTAAGGGACATCTAAACATGAAATCTCCCAAAAGAGCGAATTTCACGCGCGACATTTCTCTTCTCTCCGACATGTTTACAAGATAACAGTGGTAATAAAATAACGAGTATGACAGTTTTTACTGAACATTATTGTCGCGCGGTCTGGCAGCAGAGATTGTCGTCTTCGGTACGGACAAGGTGTATTAGGTTTAAACTAAATATGGTATTAAGAGTTAAGGACGCTACAGAAAACGCCCTATGTATTGAACTGTTATAATTCAGATGGCCTGCTGCTCTCACCTCAAACACAGAGAGAAGAAAAGTTTGAGAAAATTTGTGGCAAAAACATGCCTTGATGCCTAGTTAGGAAAGTTATTTATTTATTTATTTTGGCCTGTGGATACAGCAACGGAATTAATCAAAGGAGACAGTTTTGGTGGCGTCAAGGAATAGGCTGAGAATGGAATTATTTATTAATGTTAAGTGTAAGAGAGGAAAATTACGAAGGTTAACAGGAATGGATCGATTACCTTATATACAAGTAAAATAATGAAAAGATACTGGTAGAGTGGGGGTGAGGGTCTAGACCCCCTCTCACGTTTGTTTTTATTATGCTTAGATTAATGCTGATTGATCTATAATTAATAGGAAAAGAGTGTAGATTAGATTCAAGGTTAGAGTTAAGTTAAGTTAGAGAATATTGCTAGTTTTTATTATAATAGTTATTGCTAAGATTTACAGTATGATATGCCACATTATTAATATTTATTTATTGAATAAAAAGTGATTGGTTATGAATGTTTCTACGCCCATTGTATATTTGGCACACATTCACCAGAGGAATTAATTCAATCCATCCCAAGAGCTTTAACACCGTTGGGTTATGCTACCCATATTAAGATTAGGTAAGTAAAAATCGGGGTTTCTCGGGGTCCCCCTCAACTCTTAGTCTCGAGTGGTGGTGGCGATACCAACGTAATGTTAATAATTTTAAAACAGTACAGAACTTTAATAGGAAAAATATATATGGTAATTTGTATGTGAATGTGATTAATCCCATTCTTCTATTTAGATATAGGTTGGTGTTATTCCATTCAAATTGAGCAAAGTGTAACAAAGCAAACCTGCTAAATCTGGATGATTGAACTGCCAACCAGGGAAATTAGATAAAAAAAATATATATTCCTAGAGTATATATATATATATATATATACACATACACATATATACATATATATATACATATATACATGTACATATACATATATACATGTACATATACATATATATATATATATATATATATATATATATATATATATATATTATATAATATATATATATATATTATATATATATAATATATATATATATATATATATAGTATACATATATGCATGTACATATAATATATATATATATATATATATATATATATATATATATATATATATATATATATATATATACATACATACATACATACTGTGTATTTACATATATATATATATATACATACTATATACATATATATATGTATATATATATATATATATGAATATATATATATATATGAATGTGTGTATCATGACATCTTTACCTGATCCCATATTGAAGGCTGGGATGTTCCTTGGACGTTTGCTGAAATTTCTTGAAAGTTCAAGGTTAACGTCTTGTTTTGGACTTCTTAACTTCTTGAGAGACTCCAACGCAGCGTCCTTCTGGCCTCGGCGAATCAGCCAATAGGGGGACTAGAAGTATAAGTACAATATTTATTAGTAAATAAGATCAAACTTTATCTTTTCATGTTTATTTGCTAAAGATATAGATATTTTTTGTAGGATCCCAAAACTCCAAACGCTCTATGTATCATGGTCACTTCAAAACAAAATTACCATTGGAATTTGCACTGACATACAAAGTTTTGAAGAAAAAAAATATTTTTCTTCATTTCACAAAACATAAAGTCAATTAAAAACTTTTAATGTATTTAATATGCAGGCATGATATTCAATTACAAGCAAAATATTGTAGAAGATTCAAATAAAATGGAAAAGGAACTTGATTTCTCTGAAAGTATGATGGTTTATACACTTTCCTTTCAAATGTATTTCTCAGATTGTTTAGATATTTTTTTCTTATTACATTGCTCTTCATATGAAAGATAGAAGTTGAATGATATTTTGCATCTTGTCGTATCTACCGTGAGTGAGCTCTATGTCCGAATCATATAGCTAGATAATACTAATGATCAGAGATATTTAGTTGTCTTACTGATTAAATTATATCAACAAATCAAGATACGCAGACTATTCTGTGATATTTTTGAACCTGTAGGGTTATATCATAGAGGTACAGATTGATTTTAAAGACATTCATCCCACCGAAGCCAGTACCACGTCATATGATTCGGACTCGTTGGAAATTCTTACCATGTCGTTCCAGTGACAGTAACGATCGGCTTCAATTTTACCCATACGAAGTGAGAAAGTATTTGATGTACATTTTATGCACCTTTAGAATAGAATTTTGTATCAATAAAATCACGTAATTAATGAAAATATAAATTCCCATCTGAACCAGCGTGAAATATATTCTGAAAATATCTGATTGGTTGGCCGGAGTTTATCACGGTAGAGGAAATCACTATTCAAAATGAAAAGATATTTCAGTAGATTCCAGTTTCAGGAGACTCCAACAATAAGGAGCAAACATGTATCAAAGTGTATCGAACTGGTTGGTGTTTCGGGGATGCTACAAAATAGGCCTACAGACATAGAAACATGCATTACCTCTGGCACGAAGAAGGTGAGGGCGGCGACCAAGATCATGGGACCTGCACAAGCGGCCGTGGCCACGTCCCAGGGGAGGGAGTGAGCCATGATATAGATGGCCATCTGGGCGATGGCGACCGTGATTTCCTCAGCACTGAGCAACATACCACGAATTCTTGGCTCACTAATCTCTGCAACGAGGACTGCCGTGACAGGTCCCAAGGCAATGTAAATGAAGCAAGAGACCACTCGACCCAGGTAGAGGAGAGAGAGGTAAGGAGTGAAGGCCTGCACAAGCCATGGAATTCCTGCTGGGAGTAGGATAATAAAGAGAAATTTCCTGGGCCCCAAAGCC